TGAGTGTACAGGAGGGAGCTCCACTACAGCAATGAATGGCCACTGTTCTTTGCGTACAAGGGGGACCTCCCAGATCCCCCTGATGGCCCTGCATTGAGCGTGACGGGGGGGCAGTGCCCCAACCCCCTGATTGGACTTGCCTCTGTGAGTGACAGCGGCAGCGCCCAACCCCCTGATTGCCCCTGCTCTGTGCATCACAGGGAGTGGCACCACAACCTCTCCATTGACCCTCCCTTGAGTGTGACAGGGGGCGGTGCCCCAACCCCCCAATCAGCCCTACCCTGAGCGTGACTGATGGTGGCATCGCAACCTCCCAATCCGCCCTGCTCTGTGCATGACAGGGGGCAGCGCCCCAACTCCCCAATCAGCCCTGCTCTGAGCCCGACCAGGGGCTGCACCTAGGGATTGGGCCTGCCCTCTGCCACCCGGGAGCAGGCCTAAGCCAGCAGGTCGTTATCTCCCGAGGGGTCCCAGACTGCGAGAGGGCACAGGCCGGGCTGAGGGACCCCCCCCTTCCTCCCCGAGTGCACAAATTTTTGTGTACCGGGCCTCTAGTTATTTATATTAGGCAAGACGGCAAACAATGTACATATCTGATAGTAGAGGAATGATTAAATAAATTATAGTACAGTCAAGTTATAGAGTGAACCACTGAGACCATTAAAATTCATGTTTATAAAACATATTAACGAGAAAATAATTATGATAAACTATTAAAATTTAAAAACAGGATAAAAAACTATCTACAAATGGTTCTTTTGGGGCAGTGAGATTATGGATGCTATGTTAGTCTTCTTTAGTCTTTTCTTTCTTTTCTGTTTCTGAACTTATATTGCTAATATATTCAGTAAAAGGGATTTTTGAAAATAGCAATTCTCAAACTTTTTGATTTTAGACTCCTTTACACTCTTAAAAAATTATCGGGAAACCCAAAGAGTTTTTGTTTATGCAATTTATAATTACAGACAGTCCTCCAGTTAAGTCGGACTCGACGTACGTTGTTTCGTGGTTACGTTGCCATATCCCATTTACAGTATTTATATAAAAAAAAGTTCCGTCATTTCGACACATGTACATATGTGCTTTACGTTTTTTATTATTTATTTACCACAAGTAAAGGTCAGGAATTGTTATCTTTCTTTTAATTTTTTTTCACTGTTTCACTTCATTTCTCTGTGTATGTGCTCCATGTGAGTAATGTAGGTGCTTATGGAGGTGGGTTCCGACTTATAGCGAAAATCGCGTTACGTCGCGCCGTAGGAACGGATCTCTGACGTAACCCGAGGACCTACTGTATTTATATTTACATGCTAGAAATTAAAATGGAGAAAATTTTAAAATAACCATTAATTTAAAAGTAACAGTAATAATCTAGTACTATGTTAATATATTTTATGAAAATTATATTTTCAAAGATAGAAAAAACTAGTGAGAAAAGTGACAGTTTCACATTTTTAAAAATCTCTTTAATGCCGTAACCGGTTTGGCTCAGTGGATAGAGCGTCAGCCTGTGGATTGAAGGGTCCCAGGTTCGATTCTGGTCAAGGGCATGTACCTTGGTTGTGGGCACATCCCCAGTAGGAGGCGTGCAGGAGGCAGCTGATCGATGTTTCTCTCTCATCGATGTTTCTAGCTCTCTATCCCTCTCCCTTCCTCTCTGTAAAAAATCAATAAAATATATTTTTAAAAAATAAAAAAAAATCTCTTTAATGTAAGCTACTATCTCATATTTGCTACTCCTTTTAATCTTTTTGTTTTGTTAATCCTCACTCGATATTTTTTCCATTGATTTTTAAAAATATGTTTTTATAGATTTCAAAGAGAGGAAGCGAAAGGGAGATGGAGAAAAATCAATGATGAGAGAGAATCATCAATTGACTGCCTCCTGCATGCCCCTTACTTGGGACCAAACCCACAACCCAGGCATGTGCCCTGACTGGGAATCGAACTGTGACCTCCTGGTTCATGGGTCAACATTCAACCACTGAGCCACACCAGCCGGGCTCCACTGATTTTTAGAGAGAGTGGGAGAGAAGGAGGGAAGCACAGGGAAAGGGGAAGAGAGAGAGGGAGGGAGGGGGGAGGGAGAGAGGGAAGGAGAGAAGGAGAGAAGGAGAGAGGGAGAGAGGGAGAGAGGGAGAGAGGGAGAGAGGGAGAGAGATCTACGTGAGAGAGACACACATTGATTGGTTTCCTCTTGCACACGCCCAGACCAGGGCTGGGGATGGAACTTGCAACCCAGGTACAAATCGAACCTGTGACCCTTCAGTGCATGGGCTGACGCTCTAACCACTGAGAAACACAGGCCAAGACTGTTTTCACTCTTTTGCCATATATTTTGTTTGACATATATAACAAAAATCTGATCTTATACAGACATGCAGTTGAAAAAGGAAGGAGTATTTTAGTAGCCTTTTTGGATAATTGTGGCTATTATTCTTTGATATCACACCAAAATGCTAAAAGCAATAACTTCCTTAAAGGTAACTGAAAATGTAGATATTGAATCAAACTCAATGAACTTTTTGTATTGTGTTACATTATAACACACAGAGGCTCAATGCACGAAATTCATGCATGGGTAGGATCCCTAGGCCTGGTCAGTGATCAGGGCCCATCTGTAGGGCAACCGGCGGGGTGATCACCCCCCCCCCTCCCGCTGGTACCCACCTTGGCTGGCCTGGGGCCTGCAGACTGGGGGCAGCTCCTGTATTGAGCATCTACCCCCTGGTGGTCAGTGCACATCATAGGGACCAGTCATTCCACAGGTCGTTCTGCCGTTTGCTCGATTTGCATATTAGGCTTTTATTATATAGGATTGGTCTATTTGCACTTTGAACAGATCTTTTATCTGTTACTGATTTTGTGACATCATGCATTGGTCTTTTAGAAAATATTGAGTTATGCAAATCTTTTTTTTAATCTCACTCAAGGATATGTTTTTATTGATTTTTAAAGAGAGAAGAAAGGAGAGAGAGAAAAACATTGATGTGAGAAAGAAACCGATCGGTTGTGTCCTGTATACACTCCAACCAGGGATTGAACCAGAAACCTAGGTATGTGCCTTGACTGGGAATTGAACCTGAAACCTTTTTAGGTATATGGGATGACACTCCAACCAACTTTGCCACCTGGCCAGGGCGAATCATGCAAATCTTCATTATATGTGTTTCATTATAAAATATCAAAAAGATCACCTTTGTAAATATTACTACTGATCTCACCAGAAAACTTTTAAGTATTGGAAAGACATCAATGTCAAAGTAGTAGACAGAAGTTTTCCTAAACTCTAACTTTCTCTTGAAAGCTTGAATTTTTTCTTTTGCAACAAATACCATTAGCAATTTTCCTTGAAGTGACTGGGTTACTTCATTCATTTTCAAGAAAATGTCTGACATATAAACAAGTGTGAATAACTAGTTTGTTTGTTAGTTATTTTTTCAAATTAAAAAGAAAAGTAAGGCTAGTTTTCTTACAATGCTTACAACTCAAACAAGTGCTCTATTAGAGCACTTCAGTACTATTAGCATACTTCCCGCTTCATTCCATTTAATAAAACTAATAATTTTTCTGCTTCAACAAATTCATTAAGTGAAAATGGCTGGGGTTTTTGTTTGTTTGTTTGTTTTTAACTGCTAGTACATGGTAGTGAAAAATACTGTGATTATTAGTGCTATTCGGTGGCACTGCCCTGATTCCTACCTAGGGCTCCAGAATTTTACCCATTTACGTTAGGACTGTAAGTACAAACGTAAATACCATGCAACAGGCAATAATGTGTTGGTATTGTTATGAAAATAATTTTGACCTCACAGACTCTCTGGAAAGAGGCTCAAAGATTCCTAGATGGTGCACAGACCATACTTTGGGAATCATTGTTTTAAAAGAACTAAAAGGGTAAAGTCTCCTAAAGTAAATAGTTGTATGAAGTCTAATTTCAATAAACTTTACAAATTCTTCTTTCATGCTATGCCTTAACTTCCCTTTCAAAATAATATTAATAAACAGAATCATTTAATCTGATTCAACCTCTCTTAAGAAATAAAACTTACGGCCCAGACAGTGTGGTTCAGTGGTTGAGCATCGACCCATGCACCAAGAGGTCACTGGTTCAATTCCCAGTCAGGGCACATGCCCAGGATGCAGGTTCGGGCTCTAGTAGGGGGCGTGCAGGACGCAGCCAATCAATGATTCTCTCTCATCATTGATATTTCTATCTCTCTATCCCTCTCCCTTCTTCTCTCTCTAAAAATCAATAAAAACATATTTTTTTAAAAAGAATACTTTAAAAAAAATAAATTTTAAAAAGAAATAAAACTTGAGAGTATTTGTAAAATTATATAT